GCGTCCCTTCCCTGGAACCTGGAGACCATTCTACCTAAAAGGCAATTCTGGCTGATCTCAGCAACCAGTGCTGGGTAGAAGCCTGAGATGGCAGGTAGATACCTCCAGAGCTACCCACAGGGCCACAGGTGACATGGGGTCCAGGAATCAGGGATAGAGCCCAAGACCCCAAGAGGGCCTCAAAGAGCTGAGTAGGCCTGTTCTGGAGGAGTTGAGGGAGACAGCAAGGAACCAAACCAGGTATTGAACAAGTAAAAGAAAAAGAGACCATGTTTTGACGAGCACGAGGTGGCCTAGTTACTAAAATGAGCAGAGACTGTGGGCTCAACCTGGCCTGTAGGCAGAAGGACCCCAGCACTGGCAGTGGCTGGGCTGCTCCCACAGGGAGAGATTAAGGGGACTGGAGAGCCAAAAAGCCAGGGAGTCATTACTGGGTCACAGCCATGAGTTTCTGTTGGAAAATAAGTAACTTTCATATGAATCCACCACCCAAACCCACCTTTAGTATCTTTGTTTACTGACTTTGTATCTCTTCCTTTATCCTGGGGTAAACATAAGGAAAGGAAGAAAAGGAGTGAGAAGTGGGTGTGGGTGGCATAAGGATAGAAGCTTTTAAAAAATACGCCCAGAGATTCTGGTGGCATTAGTCTAGTCTCCAGATTAACGCCTCTCAAATATTAACGTGCTTTGAAATCACTTGGGGATCTTGTTAAAATACAGATTATGATTTGGAAGGTTTGGGGTAGAGGCTGAAAATCTGCGTTTTAACAAGATCCTAGGTGATGCTAATGCCACTGGTCTGTGGATCACATTCTCTGTAGCAACAAGCTACAGTAGCGGTTCTCAGAGGGTGGTTCCCAGACCATCAGAATCAGCATCACAGGGAGCTTGAGAGAAATGCACATTCTTGGGCCGCACCCCAGACCCACTAAATCAGAAACTCTGGGGGCAAATGTTGGTACACACAGCTCAGGGAAAAGCCCTGAGACTGAAAATCTACCTCTGCAAGTGGAGGGCAAGGAAAGGCCAAAGAAAAAGGCTGGCCACTCCAGCCTGGTAATTAACAGAGTTTACTGAGGGAAGCTTACATACGAGGCATGTCTTGGGAAGCATGATTATAATACAAAATGGATCCCCATGCATTTGGCGGGCACCAAAATAATTAGACAGGCTAAAGGGGCGGACAGTCACTGTACAAGTACGTGGATGCTACTTGACATGCGTGGCCAGGTCAGGTCAACAACCTGTTCAGGAACCAGAGAGTAGCAGGAGGTGGGGAAAGGGTGCTGACTTATGTCAGAATGAGCATCAGTTACCATTAGACAGTTTCTGGGTAGGGGGTGGGGGTTATGGAAAGCAACCTCTGTTCTGGCCCGAGTCCAGCTTTCGGGACAGACAGTAGTCATGTCACGGAACAGTCTCTCCTTCACAGTGGAGCCCAGCAATCTGTATTTTAATGCCCACTCCAGGTGATTCTTATGCATGCCGAAGTTTGAGAACCACGGCTCTAGAAAATTCGAGTGGGAAATAAAAATCTGGAGGGAAGGGTAAAGACAGTTTCTACAGGGCCAAGTAATGAATTATTGTGAGAGTAAGAGCGAAACAAAGAAAGATCAGGTTTGGCTCTATTTATGTTCCAGTTATGAACAGGTATACCCATTACAGCAAAATTAGAACATAATCTTGTAACCTGCACATTTTAGCTTTTTCAAATCCATTCTCATCCCTATCATCCCTATCATCACAAGTAGTAGAACATTTTCAGAACTTGCACACTCACTGCAAAGGTGAGAGAAAGGACAAACTGTGGCTCTTTCCTCTTTGGGCCTGCCTGGGCCCGGGCGGGGTACAGCTGGTACAGATGCAGGTGAGAGTGCCTGGGGCTGGGGATTAAGGCTGTGGAAAGGGACGCTTGCTGCTCCGAGGCCTCATTGCTAGAGGTCTTGGCCATGGGAGGTGTTGAATGTGGTCGTGTCACCACACTAACCTATGAGTGCCCTATGCCTGGATTAGGGCAAATAACTGGCCCCAAATGGCCTCCCAGGCTCAGGCTTTACCCCACCCACCATGGTGGGGGGCGTTTTGCAGGCCCCGGCTCCTGGTGATATCTGTGTCCTTGCCTTCCCCCTCTTTTCTTCCCCTACTCTCTCTGGCACCCCCTCCCCATGTGTGCCCTTTTTGCTCCTGTTTTATGCTTTCCTTTGTGCTGGCCCAGGGCTCCATCTCTGCCTATCCACTGGGGTGAAGATCTCTGTCCCCTCCCTCGCAGCCAGCTGAGCTTGACACACATTGTCTACCTGGGCAAGGGATGCCAACGGGAATAAAACATGATCCGTCCTTAGGGAGCAAGTTACCAACTCTGGGAAGTAGCCACTGCCATACAAGGTACCAATGGCATAAAAGAGATTCCAGCTCACACTCAGTTCTCCTGGTCTGGCTGGCACTTTGTAGCCCTCATTACACAAGAGTCCATTATTCTTCAAAAGGAATGTGCTATTTTCCTAAGAAGATGGCAAGTGGAGTCAGCCTCTGCCATTTCCTTGTAGCTTACGCAGAGTGAGGGACACATTGAGTAACTGGCCACAAAGCATCCCATGGAGCACACACTTGTTCAGTGACAAATGTTCCTGTGCTCCCAGGAGAGGAAATGCTGGCATTTGAAGGTTGCCCATAGCTGACCAGGGCCTATGTAATATGTAATATTTATGTTTTGGAATCTTTAGAAAGTTGGCTCACAATTAAAAATTGCCTCACATCTATGTTTAAGAAAAGCCTTTTTAAAGCTCTGCTTAAAACACTCAACCTGAACAATCACCGTCACTCATATACAAAAAGCTTCCACATTCTGGCAAATGTTACTATTACATGAGTAGAAATGGTCAGGAGAGGCCGTGTTCAAACTTTAGACATCATGAACATGCTGCTCTTATGTCCCCTAAGGAGCTAGTATAGGGGACTCTTGGTTCCTAAGAGGTGCGTCTTTGAACAATTCCTTCAACAGTGAAAATGACTCACATAGAAAAGAGAAAGAATGTCGGTGTGGATAATGCTCCCCCGATGGCAGGTCCATCTGAAGTAAGTGCTGGTATTAACTTGTGAGCTGAGTCTGTGATTAGTCTAGAAGACACAATCACATCTTTAAAACCGAAAAATGCATTAAAAAGTTGATTGATTTGGACACCATGACATGAGCTATTTTTTCTAGTGTATTTTGTCATACACATCTAGCACTTAGCAATTGCTTGGTAAAATATTTGCCAATTGAATGAATGAAATACAAACCCTGCCCCCAGGCTGATGCCTCACTTAACACAAGCAGTGTTGGCCTGCAGAAGACAGGGACTCGAAGACGACCTTGTAGGGACACCAGGACATGTCTCTGCCTAGTGCAGGTGGTGTTCCTGGGGCACGGTCTCCGTGATACGGACCCCGGGGAGGAGGAAGGCCCAGGACTGAAAACCACAGCCCACTGTCCCTCTCCAGTGGTCCCTGACTTGGCTGCCCCGTTCTTCCCAGGATTCCCCTCTGCTTTGACAGCCAGTTGTCGATGCAGGAAAAAAGATGCTTTCTGCTGAGGTAGAGAACAATTTTAGATTTTAGAACAATTTTTCAAATACTTTTGACCATGACGCACAGTAGGAAAACATTTTATTTTGTAAACCAGGAAAGACAGCAACCAATATATAACTGAAACAAAAGTTTCACAACCTGAGTTACTCTTGCAATACAGGATGTGCTGATTTCTCTATTCTATTCTGGCCCACTCCTTCCCATTAAAGGAAAATATGACCCGCTCCACTGATTTCACATCCACTAATGGGTGAGACCAGCATTTTCAAAGCAATTGTACGGCGATGCACTCACTAGAAGGATGGGCTCAGACACTCTGTCTCAGGGACCCTGCAGTGGAGGAAAAAGGGTGATTCTCCCCACACCCACAAACGGGAACACACTTAGGTCACAGAAAAATATGATGTAAATCCTTCTTTCCTAGAATCTGAACAAGAAAGCTCAAAGGAGAGGTCTTTGCTTCTATATCTAAATATCTAAATGTTTAAAATATAATACTATAATAAAATACCAGTAAGGATCTTAACCATGACCTTCCATAGGGAAGAAGCCACTTCTGACTGCCCAGGCAGGCACTCCATAACAGAAAGACTGTGTGGCAGCAGCTCCAACCCGTCCCTACTTAGTGCTATCAGGCTGAGAAGTGACAGTGTCACGAGGCTGGCACCACCACCCTGAGAAGCCTACATCAGTGTCCCAGCAGTGTACCTCAGTGCACAAGGTACAATAGGACTCTTAAGGAGGAAGGTTGGGGAGTCAGTTCTGTGATAAAATAAGTCAAGGACATGCTGGGTGAAACAACTTCTCAGAGCCTCGGACACGATATTTTGAGTTGTGACTCTTGGGACAGAGCACAGTATGCTGTGTTTTGTTTTTTTGTTTGTTTGTTTGTTTTTTTTTTTTACCATATTTGACCACAGAATCCTTTTTTCAAATAATCCTCGAAAATCTGCAGAAGAGTTTAGGGACTGCTGCTCCAAATGACAGCTCTCAGCTTCTTCCACTAGCTGGGAGAAACATGGTCTAGATGAGAGAGACACAGCTGTTCCGGGGAGGGCAGGGCAGGGCAGGGCCAGGGAGCTAGGACACTTCAAGGGGACTTGGAGACATCATTGTGTTTGGTTAATCAAATGACGAAGCAACAGAACTTTGTCAACATATTGAGCTACCCTTGTTTATAAATTCGCCATTTGCAGTTTACAACTGACCAAGTTGTGCCCTGCCCATGCTCAGGGGGTGCCAGTTACCCAAACCATGTCGTGCATGAGGACCTGTGAAAACAGGTTTATGTTTTAAACTGTGAAAAACAAAACAAAGTTACAGAGTTGTTGGTCAGAATGTCTAACACATTCTCTTTCTCCCTTGACTACATCCACTGACTCGTGTTTTTCAGTAAGGGCAGCTTCCAGGGGTGGGAGCAGGTAAGAATCTTAAAGCTTGGACTTCTTACTCAGACCCATCAGTTCCTTTTTGGGAAATCTAAGACTCAGTCCCATCATTACTAAAACAGGAATTGTTACCGGAGAGCCGGGATCCTCTCCTGGCGCTTTGTCCAGGTTCTTGATGTCTTGAACAAAGAATTGAGCAAGACACCGAAATACAGTAGAGAAGAAAAGCTTTATTAGAAGGGAAAGTACACTTCCAAATGTGGAAGCGGGCCCGAGCAAGAGTAGCGTGGCCCATAAGGCCTGGTGACAAAGCCTTCGGGGTTTTTATCCCTATTTGCTGCGGGTGGTCACTTTTCTTAGAGGAATGGGCTTCTTTGATTGACAATTAAGATCGGCAGGACTCAGTGAGTCATCATTTGCTTTCTGCGCATGTTCATTCCCAGAATTCAGTCTCTTATATTAATGAACTTCCGGACATATGCATCGTTTCATGGAGCTCTTTTCCCTTTCTGCCTTAGTCACAGCAGTGTCTTGGGTTCCCTGCTGAAATGCCGCCTCAGTCCCTAGACAAGGAAAAGAAAATATAAATTTGTTATTTAAATCACTTATCTATTATTTTCTATTACTGATTTGCCTTTTAAGCGAGTAAAGGAAAACAGGCTTGGTTAACATATTTCTTAAAGAAGAAAAACAACCTTTGGTCTAAAGTCCTCTTTCCTTTCAGACTCTAAGGATCCTGCCAGGACCTAGTCCCCTTTCCTTTCAGACTCTAAAGATCCTGCCAAGACCTAGAGCCATTCCCGCATGATGGTCCGATGATCCTTATCAAAAGCCAGAGGCCCTGAGTTACCAGTTTCCATGACCCTTATCAAAAGCCAGAGTCCCTGAGTTACCAGTTTCGGGGGCATTGTTTGGATTTGGGGAAGAAGGCCTTTTACCAAAGAAAGGAGGAAGGAAAACTTAACTAGTCTTACTAAAAAAAATTAAGAACTCTGCAAGAGATGTCTCATATCATTTCCTGCTAAAAGATTACGAATTTTACAGGTGATGTCCCATATGAGAAAGATGACAACACTTACCCACCAAGCTGAGGCAAAGAAAGCATATTAAAGCTCTTTATAAATGTCACTTTGTCAGGAAGCCGAGTCTTACTACAGGTCCTTGCCCTCAGGCTTCAGTGCCCAGGTTTGCCACCTCGTGGTCAGTGGCACTGGGAAAGCCCCCGGGCTGTCTCGGGGAGAAGGGGGTTGCAGCATAGTTGCTCATGCACTGTAGTTCTGCACTGGGGTACTGTGCTTTTTACAATTTGCTCTGAGCCGGGAGAGAGGTGGGACTCCTGAACATTGCCCTTTGCCCAGAATCCCTTTCATTTGCTTCTAAACATTTTTGCTGCCATAAATAAGCACTGAATAATTTTTTTTTTTTAGAATTAAATGACACAGTTTTATTCAAGGGTCTTAAGCAAATTGCAACTTGGGAATACCCAGAGTATTCTGAAGAAAAAGAAAAGTTGAGAGTTTTTATAGTAAAAAGCATTTTTTAAACTTAAAAAAAAATTTAAGTATACTTGGTATACAATATTATATTAGTTATATTAGTTTCAGGTGTACGCTATTGATATGACATTTGTATAGCTAACAATGTGATCACCATACTAATTGTAGTGATTATTGGTCACCGTGCAAACTTGTCACAATATTATTGACTATATTCCCCTTTACCTTTTTCACCTATTCCCCATCAGGTGAGTTGAAGGTCGTTGAGGTCTTCTTCATTGCGCAGGTATGAGTCCCCATGCCCCTACCCTCTGGCAATCATCCTTTTGGTCTCTGTTTCATGAGCTTGTGAAAAAGCACGTTCTTGAGAAGAATAAGGTCTGGATTGGTCTGAGATGGTAATCTTCCAGATATCTGGTGGTATGGAAAATCGAACATTTTTTCCCACATTCTTCGGAGGGTTATCTGTAGGATTTATCCACATCCAAGCTTTGATGCACAACTGAAAAGTTCAAGAGTTTAAGTTCTTAGGCTAGTTAAAGTAAGATAAAATGGATTCCTCATGCTTCAGCCCGCTCTGATTTAAGTCATTTTGTTAGCTTCAGAATAGTGACTCATTTGTTTCTTCGCTCTTTCCCCAGATCATTCACATGACTGAAATATATATTTCTTAGCTATATTTGGTCTTCAGCCATAGTTTTCTAGCTCACAGCTCTCAAACCTTTTGAAATTTCCTATGTGATGAGAACAATGGTATCTCTTGTTATTTTAATGAGCTGACTTTTGGACCCCACCCAAGGGTAGAAACTGGTTATCGGTAGGAGCCAACCATGTAATTAGAGGATTGAAACTATCAGTCCCACTCCTGATTTTTTAAAATAGATATATGATTTATTTTATTTTTTCCACAGATTTTTATGTTTTTTTTTTTTTAATTGAAGAAGTGATTTTTTTTTCCTCGCAATAATTTCTTGAATCAAAACTTTCATTATCCCGGGTTCCTGGTATATGCACAATTACAGTTATATCCAAAACATAAAAACAAAATATACCTTTGATCTCAGAGGCAACCATTTGTATGGCAGCATCTCTCTGTATCACTTATTAACTGTAAAATGAGCAATCAATCATCTTTCCAAAGACTAGGAGAACGAAGACTTGCAAAACCTCCCCAGAGCACATTTTGTGATGTGAGATTTCATAAGGCTAAAATGAATGTCCCTGAGGAGGTACGTGAAAGGAAAACTAGAAGGATTGGTATATTCACTTTTCATACCTTGGTTGAAAAAAAATCATGCTGTCAAGGTTGCTGGCCAA